GCGTGCTCTGGTCCAGGGGGTCACGAAGAGTCAGACACAACTAAATGACTAAACAACAACATAGTAATCAATACTGCATTCCATTGAGGTATGAATGGTTTCTATTTATCTCTATTGTAACACAACCCAGGAATCTGTTTGGATAAAGGGTGGTGTAGAAATAGGTTTAATGGCAGCTCCATCAGTCCTTCCCACCATTATCATGGTGGAGAATGGCAGTTAGGATTAAGCCCAGAAATGGGAGTGCAGGATCCAATCTCTGGGTTGGGTAGACGCCAGGAATCCATTGTCTGAACCCTTGCAAATGGGATTACTGCATCATCATCATCATGAGTGAATCTTCTTATCATGTTATCTAGCTGATAGCAGGTTGTATAAACCTTTAAAGCAAAGGACACTTAAAACTGTAATGATTTGTATGTAGCTTCAAAACAATGGAACACGAAGAACAATTTTGCTCCATGGGACAAGCACTATGTAAAGGGTGGGATTCAACTAAGTTGTTGCAGACAGGCAGCACACAAAGTGGGGTGGGGGGAATCCCATGGCATGAGCAGACCTCATTCCAGACCCACATGCCCTATTTAGTGCCATCTTGAATTCCACCCATACATACCTCACATGGCTAAATGTAGAATTTGAATGTGGAAGCAATCTTTCTGCTAAATACGTACCAGTACACTCAATATACATCTCTCTAAAACTTGCAAAAAGAGATCATATTTTAATTGTACATTGATTTAGATTTGGCAGACACGGATAATGAAGTGAGCTGCTTTCCTTTTGTGGACTAACGGATTTGTTTTATCCCCTATGGTTTGTGTTGAAATCAATATTTATTGCATGTCTATGAGTCCAAAGGAAAACAACTTCCTTTTAAAATTCAATTAAAAATACAATAGGGTACCATAAGGAGATAACCATTGACTTTAATAATTGACTTCGGGATAAGTGTTGTACAAGAACTGTAAAGCAGGGATAATACCATTTTTCGCAGAAAGAACTTAGTATTTAATTTGTTCTGTGAAATGGAGGATGAATTCCTCTGAGGTTATGCAGCCTTTTAAAATGCATTTATTGCAAAGGCATGTTAGAGCATTCATTGATATTGTATCCAATGGCACCGTGGGATTGGGCTGCCACCGTATTATAGAATTCCAATAATTATGGGCATGTTCAACCCCATGGCTCTGCACATAACACAGGGGATCCTGGAGCCCCTCATATATAGCTCAGTTGGTTAGAGCATGGTGCTGATAATGTCAAGGTCACAAGTTTGATCCCTGCATGGGACAGCTGCATATTCCTGAATTGCAAGGGGTTGGATTAGTGACCCCCAGGGTCCCTTCCCACCCTGTGATTCTATGTCCAAGTGGACCAGGGAAGCAAATACACACCATCAGTGTGGCATCCACATCCAGTCCCTTGTTCCAGAAGGTATGTGGAATATTTTACTCATTGTACTGTTGGAAAAAGACACGGTTGGTGCTATGGGTTAAACCACAGAGGCTAGGACTTGCCGCTCAGAAGGTCGGTGGTTCGAATCCCCGCGGTGGGGTGAGCTCCCGTTGATCGGTCCCTGCTCCTGCCAACCTAGGAGTTTGAAAGCACGTCAAAGTGCAAATAGATAAATAGGTACCGCTCCAGTGGGAAGGTAAACGGCGTTTCTGTGCGCTGCTCTGGTTCACCAGAAGCAGCTTAGTCATGCTGGCCACACGCCGGCTCCCTCGGCCAATAAAGTGAGATGAGCGCCGTAACACCAGAGTCGGTCACGACTGGACCTAATGGTCAGGGGTCCCTTTACCTTTACCTTTACTGTTAGAAAAAATGCCCTGGGAAGGCTGCAAACTTCCCAAATCTCCAGAGCGTTCCCCGGTGGCCCTCTCTGGCTGTAAATCTGTTTCAGTCCAGAGTAGCCGGTAATAAGTGACCCTTCTCTCCTGGAAAGTCCACGCCAGTCTTCTGGTATATCATAGCAGAAGAAGGACTCAATCGTAGTTCTAAAACTACTTTATTTACAGTCTTATATACAGAGACTCCATCAGTACGTCTGTGCTCTCTGAACACCAGTACAGAACTGCAACATACACAGAAGTGAAACCAACTTCCAATAGTACTCAGATGGAAGAGATAATACAGACTTCCTTTCTCACGCTCTCTCAGACACTCACATGATGTATCATAGTACCACTCGCTGGAGCAGCTTGGGTAGATAAAAATCCTAACATGTACCACAACCATTCTTAGTGCAATAATAGAGTTGCAATGGCAGGGGGCTCTTTTTTCCAACAGAGTGTGCAAATCTAGACAATCTCTTCCTCGTAGGTTCCTCTGACAAAGGGCCCAACCCGGCCAAGGATGTGCCAGCCAATCAGCAGCGAAGCAAGTTGATTGGGCGCCTGGGGTGGGGCCGGCTGGGGCAGGACACTCCATGAGGCCTCCGAGGAGTCTGCCTGCCTCCTCCCACTCAGGTGCCCTACAGCTGAGGGGAAGGCAGTGGGCAAACCCTTTGGGGTAGTGAAGAGCCTGCAGGCACCCAAGCCACTGCGTCAATCCCAGGAGAGATGCATGGCTTGGGTGCGCTGCAGGCCCCACGGTGAGTGCCACCTGGCATTTTGTCACCCTCCCTCAGTGGTTACATCCAGGGCGACCCGCCCCCACCGCACCCTCCTTCCTCCACCCCTTCAGCCAATATCTGGATGGGGTTAGTGTCTTCTGGGAAAACACGCTCAGTGATTTGCCTTGAATTTTTTGAGTTCGCCTTTGCTGCCCTGTGTATTATCTCAATGCATTTTTGGAAGACAGGGTCCCAGAAGAAGCTGACATTTTGTTCTTATATTTCTCTGTGTCGCATTTTAGAAAAGAAAGGGATGGGATATGGTGGACACATGCACCACATCCCGAAACAGGAAATTCATCACCAAAAAAGAGGACCAAGGATTTGCATAGCATTTCCATGTGCTAATTTATAGAAATACAATACCTTTTACAGTATTGGAGAAGGCAACGAATGACCTATGTGCCTGCTTAGTCCACTGTCAAGGTGATAACTGTTGAAGAGCAACTTCAAGGTCCCTGCTCTTCCTTCTTTTTCTTTGACCAGACAGCACCTGCAAACAGACAACTGTCCTTTCCAAAGACAGAATATATAAGCCTGAAAAGAGGCATAGAAGTAATTTAAATAAATAATGTTCTGACTATGAAAAATAAAACAATGTTTGTTTTTAACTGACACAGGGAGAAGGTGAATTGAAGTACTATGCCATCTGTTTTGCTGAAAATCTCCACAGAGGAGATGAAATTTCATTTCAGGCATTGCTTTTAATTGCCTTGCTTTCATGGGATTATTTATGTTAATCTTCTAAAAGACATGCCCAACTCCCACCAGTGTACATGGAAGCAATGCACGTATTAAGGGAGAAAGAGAGTAATGTTAAACTGGTGCTTTAACATAGATACTCCATAAAGAAATTACTTGTAGCATGCACTGCAACAATGATCCTTGCATTCCCAAAGTGACTGCTTTGAAGTTTTATCATTGGAAATCCATATGGCCAAGTCTGAGTTTGTTTCACCCTTTCCAAGTGTTATTTTGGAAATTCAAAGAACTAGTTCATGCATGGCCCTGACATTCACAGCCTCCACGCAGCTATTGGGAATGAGGCGATGAGGTTTAGCATCTGCCTGCCTCAGCCACATGTAGAAGGTTTAGCAAGAACTGAGGCCTATGTGCTTATATATCTGTGCAAGCAGACACCACAGCTTCTGTGAGGAGAATGAATGTTGATTTTTCTATGAGGAGAACTTTGAAGACTATGATTTTCAAGCATTCTTAATGCACACAGAGTTTGTATAAGTATTGGAGGCTGCTTGCTGGAGACAACTCTTGCCCTCCAACTCTTGAGCAGCCAGAAGGATGATGGGAGGAGGAGATAATATGCTCATTCCCATGGCTCCTCTCTTGTGTTTGATGAGCACCACTACAGACTGCCTGAAAAGCGATGCATGCAAATGCAAATTGTCCCCCAAACCACAGAGAAGTTAGGAAATCCCATGTTGAAATAAATGGAAATTTGAATGGCTTCTTGCACAAAATTCTCTGGACCTATATGGTGAAATTTGGCAGGATTCGTGCCTCAAAAGTAGCTACTGTGACTTCAGATTTCATCCACTTCTGTCAAAAAAAATAAAACCGTTATAGCTGTTAGCTGATTTCATCATTATAAGTCAATGGGGAGATACCCAAAGCTTCAGAAAACCAAAACAAGGATCTGCTTTGGATGCAATCCAAAGTGATATAACTCATGTGATGAATGTATTTGAGAGCAGAAGCGGTAAAGGAAGCAGTAAAGGAATCTAGAAACATTGTGAAGTGCTGAAAAGCTGCAGAATCACTTAGCATGCTGAATCACTGTGACTCATCTTGAGGATGACTCATTCTCTGTGTAAGCATTGTATCTGCTTGTATTGTATTTTATTGTATTGTATTGTATCGGATTCATTGAAAAAAATCTGGTAACCACATGCTGCGCATCAACATGTTAGACCTGAGTGAGTTCTGAAGTGGATTTGTGTGTGTGCACGCTTTTTGGTATACAACATCTGAAGGAGCGTCTCCACCCCCATCGTTCTACCCGGACACTGAGGTCCAGCACTGAGGGCCTTCTGGCAGTTCCCTCATTGCGAGAAGCCAAGTTACAGGGAACCAGGCAGAGGGCCTTCTCGGTAGTGGCGCCTTCCCTGTGGAACACCCTCCCACCAGATGTCAAAGAGAACAACAACTACCAGGCTTTTAGAAGACATCTGAAGGCAGCCCTGTTTCGGGAAGCTTTTAATGTTTGATGTATTATAGTATTTTAATATTCTTTTGGAAGCCTCCCAGAGTGGCCGGGGAAGCCCAGCCAGATGGGCGGGGTATAAATAATAAATTATTATTATTATTATTATTATTATTATTATTATTATAAGCAAGCAGGCCTCACACACCCACAGCTCTTCAGAAAGTTAGCCTTATGGCTGCAGTATCTCTTCTTATCACTTTAATGCGTGGTACACTCTCACTTCAAAAGCTGCATATTAAATTGATTTTGGGACCGGCCAGGTGGTCTGGCAGTTTATTTTGCCTACTTACACATCGCACAGGTATTGCATTACTTCAATATGTGGTGCAGGAAAATAGAATTAGTACGTATAATTAGTGTTGTAATATTTACAGAAGCTCATACTTATGGTGAGTACACAGCGGTGCATCTGCTTTTCAAATATATTATTATCTGAATTCTCAGGCATTCCGTTTGACTCCTACTGACTGGCAAGTATGTCTGCTCAAGAGGATCAAGCAAAACATGCTGATATAAATATCACTCTGAGCTTTTTGTTTATAAAAGAAATAGAAAGCCCCCCAAATTAAATCCGTGCTATTCATAAATAGTGATATGTTTATTTAGAAAACCAACACCATGAGGAGATTTCACCCCTCCCATATCCAAGAATCTCCTGAGGAGTCTGCTGATTCTCCAGAGAGGAGGAGGTGTGTTCTGCTCTCTACTTATTCTGCTCCAGCACCGAGTCAGTCAGTCAGTCAGTCAGTGTCGGAGAGAGAGAGAGACTGAGTGTTAGAGATCGTGTGTAGAGATAAGGTTGCTGCTAAGAGCAGCTGCAGACACTCAGTGCAGTACAACATTCATTTATGCTTAGACCTATTAAGCTCTGTATATAGTTTGTATAGTTGTAGATAGAATAAAGAAGATATTCTACAGAGCTGCTCTCCGAGTTGTTTATATACTCTGCTAGACTCTGCTGTACTCTGCTGTGCGACGACTGTCTTCTTGTGGGAGTGAATCCGGTGCTCACAACGCTAAGCTGTGAGTCCACAGCACTTTGACCTGTTCCTGTACAGAAGGTGGTCTCTGGAAGTGCTACCCAGCTCGCCTAGCCCAGCCGGGGCTGAAGTGGATGAGTCCAGTTGGTGGCACTGGCTCAAGGGCGATGCTGACACACCACACACCTCCAGGGAATTTACAGCTCACGCTAAACTTTCTGCCACGCTCCTTTTCCTTCCTCCATGGCCAAAGGGGAGAAGAGTGCAGAAACAGAGACTGCATAGCCAGCAGCGGAGGAAGCCGTTCGGGTGCCTGTAGCGGTGCGCCCAGGGGCAAGGCGTGCCGTCCATAGGCGTAGGGCACACCATGGGGCTTCTGGAGTCTGCCTGCCTCCTCCCACTCAGCCACCCTACAGCTGGGGGGGGGAGGCAGCGGGCGGATTGTTTGGGCAGCATGGAGCCTGTGTACGCCCTAGCCACTGTGTCACTCCCAGGAGAGACACATGGCTCGGGCACGTTGCAGGCTTCATGGTGAGTGCCGCCCAACATTTTGTCACCCCCCCTCAGTGGTGACACCCGGGGTGGTTCGCACCCATCACACACACCCCTTCCTCTACCCCTGTGCACAGATGGTGATGAAAACACTCCGCTAACACATCTGCAGCACTCAGAAACGTTTTTCCCTATTTGCTGTTGTTTCCATGAAGTCGCCCCCACCCCATTCATTTACAAGCTGCCCTACAACGGGCACTGCACCCGCGTGACTCCCCCTTCTCTCCTGACTGAGAGGAAGGTTTGAATCTGTGAGCTGCTTCTTTCCCTCCTTCCACAATCTCATCCAGCATGTAGCTGGCATGGCAGCTGCTGACAACGACCATGGCTGCTCTGCTGGCAAACACAGTTACAGTGGTACCTCGGCTTACAGATGCTCAGTGGCGTAGCGTGGGGGGTGCAGGGGGTGCTGGCCGCACCGGGCGCAACATCTGGGGGGGGCGTGCTCGCACTCGCAGCTCTCTGCCCCTACCTGGCTCACTCACTCTCTCTCACTGCAGTGCTGGCTGTGCGAATCCGATCCGAGCCGCTGGGTCGCCGCCCACTGTGGAGGGGGTGGGTGCCAGGCTTGCGGTGCGGAGAGAGAGCGAGGGACTATCTGGGGGAGGGACAGTGCAGCGGCCGCTCAGCGCAGCGCTGAGCGCGGGAGAGAACCACACCAGACCAGCCCAGGCAGCAGCAAGAAGAAGCTGGCAGTGACGGCAGGTTAGGGGTTAGGGGGCGCAAATTACTTGCCTTGCCCCGGGTTAGGGGGCGCAAATTACTTGCCTTGCCCCGGGTGCTGACAACCCACGCTACGCCGCTGCAGACGCTTCAGGTTACAGACTCAGTTAACCCAGAAATAGTACCTCGGGTTAAGAACGTCGCTTCAGGATGAGCACAGAAATCACGCAGCAGTGGCACAGCAGCGGCGGGAGGCCCCATTAGTTAAAATGGTACCTCAGGTTAAGAACAGTTTCAGGTTAAGAACAGACCTCCAGAACAAATTAAGTTCTTAACCCGAGGTACCACTGTAGTTGTGATCATGATGCCACCACAGTGGTGGAAGAGGAGGTTGCAATACCCACCTCTGCCACCCTACCTGGAATTGTCTTTGAGCTATTAATAAAGGATGCGCTTCTTGGGTTCTGTCTTGGGCCCGGTCTTATTCAACATCTTTATCAACGACTTGGATGATGGACTCAAGGGCATCCTGATCAAATTTGCAGATGACACCAAACTGGGAGGGGTGGCTAACACCCCAGAGGACAGGATCACACTTCAAAACGACCTTGACAGATTAGAGAACTGGGCCAAAACAAACAAGATGAATTTTAACAGGGAGAAATGTAAAGTATTGCACTTGGGCAAAAAAAATGAGAGGCACAAATACAAGATGGGTGACACCTGGCTTGAGAGCAGTACATGTGAAAAGGATCTAGGAGTCTTGGCTGACCACAAACTTGACATGAGCCAACAGTGTGACGCGGCAGCTAATAAAGCCAATGCAATTCTGGGCTGCATCAATAGGAGTATAGCATCTAGATCAAGGGAAGTAATAGTGCCACTGTATTCTGCTCTGGTCAGACCTCACCTGGAGTACTGTGTCCAGTTCTGGGCACCACAGTTCAAGAAGGACACTGACAAACTGGAACGTGTCCAGAGGAGGGCAACCAAAATGGTCAAAGGCCTGGAAACGATGCCTTATGAGGAACGGCTAAGGGAGCTGGGCATGTTTAGCCTGGAGAAGATGGAGGTTAAGGGGTGATATGATAGCCATGTTCAAATATATAAAGGGATGTCACATAGAGGAGGGAGAAAGGTTGTTTTCTGCTGCTCCAGAGAAGCGGACCCGGAGCAATGGATCCAAACTACAAGAAAGAAGATTCCACCTAAACATTAGGAAGAACTTCCTGACAGTAAGAGCTGTTCGACAGTGGAATTTGCTGCCAAGGAGTGTGGTGGAGTCTCCTTCTTTGGAGGTCTTTAAGCAGAGGCTTGACAACCATATGTCAGGAGTGCTCTGATGGTGTTTCCTGCTTGGCAGGGGGTTGGACTCGATGGCCCTTGTGGTCTCTTCCAACTCTATGATTCTATGATTCTCCTTGTCTCTGCTTTGAGACATTGGATGCCCTCCTTGAGCATCTTCTTGTGTCAGGCTCCTCGGTGCTGTCTGAGTGCATTTTTGGTGCTTGCGGCATAACCTCCCATTGCCACATCCAAGCTGCTTTGGCTACAGCAGAATTTATCCCAGTTCATCTCTGTGGAGCACAACTTAACCACTTTCCTATAGTTTCAGTAGCAATCTTATATAACATTTAACACAGCCCTAGCAATTAGGATGGGAAAGCGTGTTCTCCCTCATGGAGAGCACGTGTTGTGGTGGGGTCTGCCGAGCCACCCCTCTGTTGCCAGGCAGGGTTTCTAAAGAGGGCCTAGGGCAACGATTGGATGTCTGGGCTGCTGGGGTAAATGTTATGTTGCAATTTGGGTGGAAGGGGTCAAATGTTTTAAATACTCTGCACGCAGCCTGGAGCTTTCTCTTTGCTGCGTGCAACGGATCACCCGCCCACCCGCCCTTGAGTAAGGGGTTGTTGCATTGACCTTGCTATGCCTGTCATGGGGTCATCTGCCGTTGGGGCAGGGGCCTGGTAGGAATATTGTCCATCTGGCTGATTGGCTGGGCCATTTGGTTTTTGCCTGCTGCGTAGCAAATCGTCACAACTTGTAAGGTTGCGGTTAGGCATTGGTTATAAATTGGTTGGAGGAGGGGTTAGGATAGGCTGGGCCTGCCCCTCCATGGTTGCTGCGGAAAGGGAATTCCGTTAAAGGAATCCAGGGGCTTGCCATCTTTTCGTCTGAATCGATGGAATGGAGCTAGGGCCGGCAAGCCTTGGGGAGCATGCGGGGAGAGGTGAGGGCCTGTGACTCAGCTCCATTTTCTTCCCGATATTGTTTTCCCTTACTGGCTTTCGGTAGTGCACAGAAGTCAGTTCTGTCCCTAGGCGTTAACCAATGCCTAAAAAACCACTCACATTTATGTATTTCAATAAAGTTGTGGCGAAAATTATGCCAAAAACCTTAAACAAAAATTATGTGTGTGTTGCGAGTTATTTGGGGGGTGGCTTGGGGACCTTGACACGCAAATATTAGCTGGTGCTCTCTCTCTCTCTCTCTCTCTCTCTCTCTCTCTCTCTCTCTCTCTCTGTGTGTGGGTGTGTGTGTGTGTGTGTGTGTGTGTGTGTGTGTGTTTAAAAAATTGATAGAAAGTTGGGACAAACTACATACAAGTATCTGCTGGTAATAATATCAGTGGCATCTCTATATTTCTCTGAATGGTCAATTTAGAACTGTGATTCCCTCACCACCACCTCATTGCCTTCATTAATTGTATTAGTGATTCCATCTGTTATTTTCTTGTAACTCAGTAGGTGAGAGATCGGTATTTTATGCTTAATTTGCACTGGATGCCAGAAAAAGCTGCAATGTGCCACCTGGAAACAAAGAGTGGAGGTGTAGGGCATTGTTCTGACTTTCTGCTCAAGACCACCTAGAAGCAGTGAGCAGCCCTGTCTTGACAATATTTGGACATAGAATGTTGGATTTATTCCAGCTGGAAGCTTTCTAATGTGATTTAACAGCTCAAGAAAGACATGCACAGTGTGAGACATTATACCGGTATATATATAGGTAAAGGTAAAAAGGTAAACGACCCCATGATGGTTAAATCCAGTCAAAGGCGACTCTGGGGTTGCGGCGCTCATCTTGCTTTCAGGCCAAGGGAGCCAGCGTTTGTCCACAGATAGTTTTTCTGGGTCATGTGG